TATTTACAATGTTGTTGTTGTTGTTGTTATGTGCCGTCAAGTCAGACTTGACTCATAGTGACCCCTCCTTGGGTTTCTGAGGTGGTATCACTATGGAAGTAGATTGCCCAACCTTCCCTCCGAGGAGTGGCTGGTGGGTTTGAACTGCTAGCCTTCTGGTTAGCAGTCAAGTGCTTTGGGCACTACGCTAGGAGAGCTCCAATAGCTTCACAGAAAATAAAATACTTGGGAATAAATCTCACTAGGACACAGAAGACCTGTACAAAGAAAATTATAAATCACTACTCCAAGAAACCATAAGAGATCTACATAAATGGAAGAACATACCATGGTCGTGGATAGGAAGATTGAACATTGTGACAATGTCATTTCTACCCAAAGCAATCTATACATTCAATGCAATCCCAATCCAGGTTCCATCAGCATTCTTTAAGGATATGGAAAAACCAATCACTAATTTTGTATAGAAAGGAAAGAGACCTCGAATAAGCAAAGCGCTGTTGAAGAAGAAGAACAAAGTAGGAGGTCTCACACTCTCAGATCTCAAAACCTACTATACAGCCACAGTTGTCAAAACAGCCTGGTACTGGTACAATGACAGACACATAGACCAGTGGAACAGAATTGAGCACACAGAAATAGATCATTGATCTATGGTCAGTTGATTTTTGACAAAGTGCCAAAATCCATTAAATGGGGAAGAGATGGTCTCTTTAACAAATGGTGCTGGCAAAACTAGATATCCAGCTGCAGAAAAATGAAACAAGATCTGTACCTCACATCATACACAAAAACTACTCCAGATGGATCAAAGACTTAAATTGAAACCTAAAAGTATGAAGTTCCTCAAGGAAAAAATAGGGGCAAATTTAGGAGCCATCATTTAAGGCATTTGACTGCTAACCAGAAGGTTTGTGGTTCAAACCCACCAGCCACTCCTTGGAAGGAAGATTGGGTGATCTACTTCCGTAGCAATACTGCTTTGGACACCCAAGGAGGGGTCGCTGTGAGTCGGGATAGACTCAACAGCAGTTAGTTTTTTTTTTTTAATTTATAGCATAAATAGCCTGTCAAGCATAACCCAAAATGCACAAACGACTGAAGATAAACTAGATGAATGAGACCTTCTAAAAATTAAACATTTATGTGCTTTAAAAGACTTTTTCAAAAGAGTAAAAAGAGAGTCTACAGATTGGGGAAAAAATAATCAGCAACAACATGCCGGACAAAGGACTTATTTCTGATATTTACAGAAACCTCCAACACCTCAACAACAAAAAGATTAACAATTCAGTTAAAAAATGGGTAGAAGACATGAATAGGCACTTTATCAAAGAGGATATTCAGGCAACCAGCAAATACATGAAGAAATGCTCATGATCATTAGCCATCAGAGAGATGCAAATCAAAATCAAAACAACAGTGAGATACCATCTCATCCCAGCACTCACAGCGGAGTTCAACAAGACAGAAAATGACAAATGCTGGTGAGGATGTGGAGAAATTGGGATTCTCATACACTACTGGTGGGACTGTCAAATGATACAACCACTGTGGAAAGCAGTATGGTGATTCCTTAAAAAGCTAGAATTAGAAATATCATTTGACCCGTCACCAGGTATATATCCTAAAGAAGTGAGAGCCAGGACAAGAACAGACATATGCACACCCATGTTCATCCCTGCACTATTTACAATAGCAAAAAGATGGAAACAACCTAGGTGCCCATCAACAGAATGGATAACCAAACAATGGTACATACACACAGTGGAATACTAAGCAATACTAAAGAATAATATGTTGTTGTTATGTGTTGTCGAGTCGGACCCGACTCATAGCGACCCCTCCTTGGGTTTCCGAGGCAGTATCACTACGGAAGTAGATTGCCCCATCTTACTTCCGAGGAGTGGCTGGTGGGTTTGAACCGCCAGCCTTCTGGTTAGCAGTCAAGTGCCTTAGGCACTAAGCTACCAGAGCTTATATAATATAGAATCTGCAAAACGCCCATAATGTGCATGAACTTGGAGGACATTATGCTGAGTGAAATAAGTCAATCACAGAAGGACAAATATAGTATTAGTTCATTATTGTAAAAAGTCCAGGAAAGGTTTATATATGGAATGGAACTTTCTTTGTTGGTTATCAGGGGTAGGAGGGGAGAGGAGGAAACACTGCCAAAAAAAAAAGCATTGACCCATGGGAGAAGAAAAACAGCAAGGAGGCTAGTGTATCTAGAACAAGGGGGGAGGGAAAATGATAAGGTATGAAAATTAATGAGGAGGGAGGGATCACTCTATCAGGGGCAAAATACAGCATAACATGCATTTCTTTGTTATTTCTGTTCATGCTTTTTAAATTTTAGTCATGCTTTAACTTTTTTTTTTTTACTGCTTACTTAAAATATTTTCTTTCTTTTTCAATTTTTAATAAAGATTTAAGAATATACATTTTCTTCTAAGTGCAGCATTGCCTGCGTTCTGTACTTCACAGTTGTCAGTCACATGACTGCCCCTGTCTGCAAAGGAGGCCAGGGAAGATAGGTTTTTAACAAACACGTTACTTCCCTGAACAAAATCAGGATTTTATTAGTGGGGAAGAATGGGAGAAAGAATGTTAGAAAAGCTACAAGCAATTTCTTTTATAAAATCCTAGAGGCCTGGTAGCATAGTGGCTAAAGCACTTGACTGCTAACCAGAAGGCTGGTGGTTCAAGCCCACCAGCCACTCCTCGGAAGGAAGGTTGGGCAACCCTACTTCCGTAGTGATACTGCCTCGGAAACCCAAGGAGGGGTCGCTATGAGTCGGGGCTGACTTGACGGCATGTAACAACAACAACAAAAAAAAGAGGCCTGGCAGGTTTTTTTTGTATATTCCCATTCTATACAGATTATTACCAAGCATTGCAAAATGAAATGATACTCAATTTATTTAATGAAATTAGCCAAAATTTTGTATTAAAATCTGACAAAAATTGCTGAAAAAGAAAAATTATAAGCCAGTTTAATTTATGACTGTAACAGTGAAAATCAAATAAAATATAACTATGTCAGTTTTCTACTATGTTAAAAGAATCATCTATTGTGAACAAGTAGGATTCATCCTATAAATGCTAGATTAATATAAGGTAAAATTTAAATATAATACCATATCAACAGATCAAAAGATCCAAAAAGAAAAAAAATACAATAATCTCAATAGATAAAGATTTGATAGAAGTCAGCACTCATTTCTAATTAGAAAGCCAATCTTAGACAACCAAAACTAGAAAGGTATTTTTTTTTTGAGAACTTTTTTTTTTTTTTAATGTGATTTGGGTGAAGATTTACATAACAAATTCACTTTCCGTACAGCAGTTCACATATACTGTCTCATGTCACTGACCACAGTATACCACAATGCAACAGCTCCCCTCCTACTTCCTCCCCATAGTCACCTCTTCCCAGTGTCCATCCCTCCATACACTCCTGCCCCCTGGGCTGTCTCTCGGTGCATAAGCAGCCCTTCTCTCTTCCATGATTGTTCTCTCCAAGGAGTATATCTACTTGAGGTAAATGTTCAACTCATATGCCTGTGTTTTGTTTGTCTGGAAACCACAGGTGTGGGTTCAATTCCAGACCTAAAGGGCAACTAGGGCCGTATCTCAGTGGTTCCACCAGGCTCCATCAGACAAGAAAACCTGGTCCTTTTTTTTTCCCCCACAAATGATTATGAGTTTTGCTCCACACTGTTCTCCCTCTCAATCAAGGATCTCCTACATAGATCCCCTTGCAAGTGGATAGAAAGGTATTTTTTTAAATGAGATAACATTATCTAACTTACTCTGATCAAATTTCTTTGAGTTCAAAGGACAAAGTATAGTCCATATATCCTCAGCCTTATCAACCTGAGACTACAAAATATATTTTTAAAACATACCTGAAATACATTAAAAAACAATAATACCTGAAATAGTATAGCATAAACGTATAATAATGTATTCCCAGTTACTTCTGGAAGTTTCATGAGGTACGCCTTATATGAATTGCAAATCACATTCCTCTCTTTCCTTAGCTCAGGCCTTTCCAGCTTGCTGCCATCAAGTCTTGATGGCCCCAGTTAGACAGCTGGGTATAGTTGTTTTAGACTTTAGGAAAAATAACACCCATTAGTTCCTGTTTTTGCTATGTGAGTGTAAAAATGAAGATATTTCTAATATTGTCTTTGAACTTTTAGAATTAAGTAGTTTTATAAAATCAAATTATCCATTCCTTTGTGAAATGTGTAACAGGAAATTATATTAATTAATAAGTCAGATAAGGTTTAAATTTTGAAAGCATAGTAATGGATGTTTTAGACCAGTATTTTAAAACCTTTTTTGACCACAACCCACATTAAGAAATACATCTTATTTTGTGATCAGTTAGTTACACACAGACACACATAAGTTACATACATTTATATCTCTAGAATTAAAAATTTCACAAAACAAGGATCTATGTAAAATACTTTGATGCTGTCTATTCTATTTTTTAAAATTTGTATCAACCCATCAAGTTGATTTCATAACCCAAATACTGTAGTTCACCATGCTGTTCAGACATTTTATGGTCCTGAACAGAGAGGGTGATTCTTTTAATTGTAAAGTAAGTAAAATGTTTGGAGTTCAAGAATTCAGTTTTGAAAGATGAGAAGTCATTTGTTTTGAGAAATGGTATTTCGCAGTTTTGTTGTAAATGTTGACTTTTCATGCCTAGGCAGAATGCTTTGGTGCTAGTTGCTAGTTTTTCTCTGATTTCTTGGGAGAGTAGTAGGGTAGAAAGATAATATTCTAAATGGTTACTGCTTTTATTTCTGCAGCCCTCATGTGTGATGGATGATGAGTCTCATGTATCATTAACCAAAGGACCTCACCAATTAGAAGTTAATTGTGTTTGTGAGCAACGTACCTTCTTGGTCTGACTCTCTTCCTCAAACAGTGGCAACACCTTTTGTTTCAAGTTGCATTGTTGCAGAGTTAAGCAAATGGCTGATAGTAGTGGTTTGGGCAAGAAATGCACAGAATGCCCCAAATGTTCATCTGATACTGAGAAAGATACAGTTTGTGTATGTTCCTGTAAAATAAGAGCTTCTCCAACTTCATGGGCACAAGTGTCACCAACGGCAAGCATCGGAAGTTCAGAACTAACTTCATCAGAAAGAAAAAAAGAAAAAGTTACCAGCAGAGATGTTGCCTCTGGGAAGGATTTGGTAAATATCAAAGACTCTACATTTCAGCACAAATTGACAACCCATTCCCCGATTCTATCCCTAGCTTGTCCCATAGGCCCTTCTCAGCATATTCATTGCCATCTTAACTATTAAAGGAACATTTCTTTCTCACAGAAAAGATGAGCAAAGTTGGGTGGTAACTTCTTTCATGAATATTTTCACCTATTTCCCAAATTAATTCTTTCTGAGGATATCCTGAATAATTAGGAATGTTATTCAGCTGCTGCTGCTGCTCCCCCCCCCCCTTTATGGCTTGTACAGTTATGAATTGTTTTCAAGTTTAATTAAATCTGAATTTTTGAGCATTTTCTTCAACTGAAACAAATTGAAATTTGTGATTGTGGTTAAATACAGAGTGATTATCTTTTATTATTTAAGACAATTCCTGGCTATCTAGATGGAATATCAAATATATTTCACCAAATTGATTTGCATTAGTTTCATTCAGCCACTTAGACCAGTTTGAATGTATTCACCTTTACAGAGAAGAAGCAGTGTGGAATTCTGTAGTCAGTAGTGTACAGTTTTGAAGGGAGAGAGCACTAAATTCAAGAAAAGTCAAGGTTATCTGCTCCCAGAGTTGTATCTTTTTCACATATTACATTACCCTCTGTCATTATTTCTGATTTTTATTACTGATAGTTATTACTCTATAGATGTCTCTGAATGCGTTGTTACTATGTTATTTTGGTTAAAGGATATTTTGTGAACATCTAACCAATATTTTTCAGTCTGAGAAGTTTATTCTTCAAGTATAGTCTTTTATTATTATTATTTCAGCATTTATTGTGATTTGGGTGAAATTTTATAGAGCAAATTAGTTTCCTATTCAACAGCTTATGCACATTTTGTTTCATGACATTTACAATCCCCTCAAGGTGACAGCACTTTTCCCACTTCCTCCCTGGGTTCCCTGTTTCCCTTTGCCCGTCTTTCCTGCTCCTTCTTGCCTTCTGAATCTTGTTTTTGGGCTAATCCTACTGTTTTGGCCTCATATCATTGACTGTTCTGAGGAGCATGTTCCTTGCAGATGTTAATGTTCACTTTATAGGCCTATCTGTTGTTTGGCTGGAAGATGATTTCCAAGAGGGGGTTCAGTTCCAGGTTTGAAAGGTCTAAGGGCTGTAGTCTCGGGGTTCCAGTAGTCTCTATCCGATCAGTAGTAGTTTGATCTTTTTATGATTTTGAATTTTGTTCTAAATTTTTCTCCTACTCTGTCCAGGGCCTTCTATTGTGATCCTAGTCAGAGTGGACAGTAGTGGTAGCAAGACATAAACTAGTTCTTCTGGTTTCAGGCTAGTGGAGGCTGTGCTTTGTTGTGGTCCATTAGTCCTTTGGACTAATTGTTTCCTTGAGTCTTTGGTTTCCTTCACTCTTCTTTAGTCTGGATGGAAAGAGACCAATAGTTGTATCTTAGCTGGTCGCTTGCAAGTTTTGAGACCCCAGTTGCTACTCACCAAAGTAATGTTGTTGTTGTTATGTGTCGTCAAGTCACACCTGACTCATAGCGACCCCTCCTTGGGTTTCCAAGGCAGTATCACTACAGAAGTAGATTGCCCCATCTTCCTTCTGAGGAGTGGCTGGTGGGTTTGAACCGCCAGCCTTCTGGTTAGCAGTCAAGTGCCTTAGGCACTATGCTACCAGAGCTCCCAACAAAAGTAATGACAGGTAATTTTTTGATGTATAACCTATTTAAGATGATTGTTCCATTTTTGAAACAGGTGATTGAGAAAACTGCCTTCTCTGGTGATTTTAAAGAATTGGATAAGTTCTGATATATCTGCTGTGTAGGTTATCATATAGATATGTCTGGATTCAGTGGATTGGATTGGATGATTTCTTAAGGACTCTCTTAGCCTAATGATGTAATGAATTGTATAGGGTTTAGAATTTGAAAAAGATAGCAAACTACTTTGTATACAATAAATATCATGGTATACGTTAAAGATTGATCAGATTGTCTAAATTGGAGATTTTACTTCATCAACAAGAATGTTATATTTTAAAGTTAATTTTTTTTATGTTTAATTCTTAAGTTCTCAAGATCTATCAATGTGGAGAGAAAAACATCTCAACAACAATGGGGTCGGGGTAACTTAACAGAAGGAAAAGTTCCTCACATCAGGATGGATGATGGAGCTGCTATTCAGGTATATAGAAGCAAACAGAAGTTGTTTTTACCAACTACTGGAAACTTTCAGATTTCTTCTAACTGAATGGTTATTGGAAAAAAAAGTAAAAATAATTCTGTAACGAACAGAGGGAAAGAAAGTTGAGGAAGTTTATCATTTTTTAATATGTGAAAGTTTTTACTAAAGAGAATGAAGACTAAATATTTTCTCTGTTCATAGAGGACTTGTTGTTGTTGTTGTTGTTATTTGCTGTCGAGTCGGCCCCGACTCATAGCGACCCCTCCTTGGGTTTCCGAGGCAGTATCACTACTGAAGTAGATTGCCCAATCTTCCTTCCGAGGAGTGGCTGGTGAGTTTGAATGGCCAGCCTTCTGGTTAGCAGTCGAATGCCTTATAGACTTGAATTAAAGTGGGAGGCATTTTTATTAAACAAAATGGAGAACATTTTGGTCTTCACACCTTGGCTGTTGGTGAGAGCAATTGCTGAGGGCAGTCGGGGAGTCATTGTGAGGACCTCTTGAAGAAGTAGGGGCCAAATTAGAACAATTTTTTAAATTAAAATGTGTTCTCTTAACATCAAATTCAACTACAACAAGAAGATAAAATAATATTTGCTTTTCAGTTGCAATAATGTTAAATAACTTTTAAAATTTGTTTTAAGAGAGATTTGGAGTGATGAGGAAAAATTTCCTAAGAAATTCTAACTTGAAAACTTTAAATCCCCCCTTTAAATAAATGACTTGCGTTTAAAAAAAAAAAAAAAACTCTACAGATTTACTAAGTTTTAAGTTTAGTTGTAAGAACTTTTCTACAGCAAGCAAAATGGGTTCATTATGAAAAATTAGGAAGATATAGATAGGAAAGTAAAGAAGAAAATAAAAATCATCAGATACAACCAATTTTAATATTTATTACTTTTCTTTCATTTTTCTATGCATGTACAAGTTTTATCCAATTTTTTCTTTTCAGTTTTTCATATTTTAAATTATAAAATATTTCAATTATATACTTATTTATTAAAAAATAATCTTAACAGTTACAGTTGAAGTTGATGCTTACCTTACCCTGTTAAGATGAACAGGGTCATTATAAAAAATTTTAACGGTTCAGAAGAATACAAAAAAAAGGTGTTATAATCATCCAAAATTCTACTACTCAGAAAGCACTACTCTTAATATTTAGCTGAATGTCTTTCCAGACGTCAGTGTAAGCACCAACACATAAACACAGTTTTATAATAGGATCATATCATGCATGCTTTTCACATTCTACCCTATGGCATGGACTTCTTTGACAATAAAATAGCTCTACACTATAATTTCATAGCATCCTCTTAAAATTATTAGAAACAAGTCGTTTCACTCTTATTTTCACCACTATATGATATCATAGGAACCCTGGTAGCTTAGTGCCTAAGGCACTTGACTGCTAACCACAAGGCTGGTGGTTCAAACTCACCAGCCACTCCTCAGAAGGAAGATGGGGCAATCTACTTCTATAGTGATAACTGCCTGGGAAACCCAAGGAGGGGTTGCTATGAGTCGGGTCCAACTCGACGACATATAACAACAACAACAACAATATGATATCATAGCAATTAATTGAAAAATAAAAAGATTAGTTGGGCAATTGGGCTATTCTTTCACCTTTTCCTTGTTTTTAAAATCCTATTTAAATGTATTTTTCCTTTTTTTTCTCCCCATGCTGATCTCAGAAGGCATCCTTTTATGACTTTTTTCCTTACTCTTCCAGTATTTTAGCTCTAGTTTCTGGCTCCAGTGACTTTTTTTTTTTTTTCTGGAACTTATGACTTTATGACTTAGATAACAATTTTATTTCTTAAAAGGAGCTCTGATAGCATAGTGCCTAAGGCACTTGACTGCTAACCAGAAGGCTGGTGGTTCAAAGCCACCAGCCACTCCTCTGAAGGAAGGTTGGGCGCTCTACTTCTGTAGTGATACTGCCTTGGAAACCCAAGGAGGGGTCTCTATGAGTCAGGTCTGACTCGACGACACATAAAAACAACAGTAGATTATAAATTCTGAGAAGACAGGAATTATGTTTTATTCATCTTTATAACCACCAAAGTGTACAGCACAAGGTAATACCTAAGGAAGGTCTAACATATTAAAGGCAAACATTTTCTTTATTCCCCCCACATTCACTAAGCAAGCATATTTTGCCTACAAAGTCTCAGGAGTACCAAGTGAAAAATCCACTACCATCAGGTCCGTTCCAAGTCATGGTGACCCTATGGAGCAGAATAGAACTGCCCCCTAGGGTTTCCGAGGCTATAAATCTTTACGGAAACAGACTGCCTCATCTTTCTCCAGCTGTTGGGTTAGAACCGCCAATCTTTTGGTTAGCAGCCGAATGCTTTAACTACTGTGCCACTAGAGCTCCTTTGTCTCAGGGATAACCCTTTTATTTTATTCTTTAACTTCTTAGTATGATTTGGGTGCATATTTACACAGCAGATTATAGTCCCCACAATGGAACAGTTCTTCTCCCCTGTGGTTACCCCTTTCCTGTGTATGCATTCCTGTCTGCCTAGCTTTCCCCCTATGCAAATGCTGGCCTTCAGATCTCTCACATTTGACTGATCTAAGGGGTGCATCGCTGTGGGGTAGGTGTTCAGCCTGTAGGCCTTTCTGTTGTTTGGCTGAGAACTAACCCATGGGAGTGAGTCCAGTTCCAGCCCCAAAGGAACCATAGTCTCAGGGGTTTCACCTGTCTCCATCTGACCAGTAATTCTTGCCATTTTTATGGTTTTGATTTTATTCCACATTTTCCCTCCCACTCTGTCCAGGATCTCTAATTTTGATCCCTTTCCTAGTGGTTGGTTTTGGTAGCTGAGCACCATCAAGTTCATTTGGTCTCAAGGTCATGTAGGGTGAGGTTCCTGTGGTCCATTACTCCCTTTTACTAATTATTTCCATATGTCATTGATTTTCTTCACTCTTTGCTCCATATGAGAAGAAACTGATCTTAGATAGCTGCTCTTAAGCTTTTAAGATCCCATTCGCTACTTAGCAAAGTGGGATGTAAAACAACGTTTTTGTGTACTGTGTTGTAACAACTAAGCTTGATGGCCCTGGAGTCCACAGGTCCAGTGACTCGTTTCCTCGTGGTGCTTGGTTGTGGCTAAGAAACTACCCCAATCTTGTCCCCTGTTAGTTAGTTCTGTAATGTTTGAGGATATTTTTATAGCATATACAAATATGCATGTAGGAGTATCATCAGCCAGACTTACCTGTGGTCATGAGTATATTTCCATTCCCCTATCTACACATGATCTTTTCTCCTGTCTATGTATCTACCTGCAGACTATTGTTGTGTTGTTATGTGCCGTCGAGTCGGACCCGACTCATAGCGACCCCTCCTTGGGTTTCCAAGGCAGTATCACTACGGAAGTAGATTGCCCAACCTTCCTTCCAAGGAGTGGCTGGTGGGTTTGAACTGACAGCCTTGTGGTTAGCAGTCAAGTGCCTTAGGCATTACGCTACCAGAGCTCCTACGTGCAGACTAGTGTTTGTTAATAGTGATAATGCAGTGTTGTGTATGTGATAGTATTTGCCTCTGTTGTCTGTACCTTTTGTGTACCTCTCTGTGTCCTCCGTTTCCCTATTGTTATTGTGCTGGTCACACACTTTTATTATATTGCCTTTCCCTTCACCCAAATCAACACGTCTCTTAACATGTCAGTGATTTTCCCTCCTCTCCTCCCATCCCTGAGAACCAACAAAGTAAATTTCCTTCCTTGTATAAAACTTTACTTGACTTTTTATAATAACTGACTCATACAATATTTGTCCTTCTGTAATTGACTTATTTCACTCAGCGTAGTGTCCTCCAAGTTCATCCACATTATGAGGTGATTCGTGGATTCTTCATTATTCTTTAATGTTGCGTTGTATTCCATTGTGTGTATGTATCCTAGTTCAGTTAGCCATTCATCTCTTGACAGGCATTTAGGTTGTTTCCATCTCCTTGCTTTTGTGAATAGTGCTGTGATTAACATGGGTGTGCATATGTCTGTCTGTGTCCCAGATCTCATCTTTTTAGGGTATATTCCTAGTAGTAGGATTGGTGGCTCAAATGATATTTCTATTTTCAACTTTTTAAGGAAGTATCATACCATTTTCCACAGTGATTGTACTATTTTACAGTTCCACCAGCAGTGTATGAGAGTTCCAATCTCTCCATACCCTTGCCAACATTTGTTGTTTTCTGTCTTGTTGAACTTTGCTATTATTGCTGGGATGAGATGATATTTCATTTTTATTTTGATGTTCATGTCTCTAATGGCTAATGATTGTGAGCGTTTCATCTTGTGTTTGTTGGCTGCCTGAATATCTTCTTTGGTGAAGTGTCTGTTCATGTCCTTTGCCCATTTTTGAATTAGATTGCTTGTCTTTTTGATGTTGAGGTGTTGAAGTTTTCTATAAATTTTAGAGCTAAGTCCCTTGTTGGATATGTCATTGCCAAATATTTTTTTTCCCAATCTATAGGTTCTCGTTACACATTTTTAGATAAGTCTTTTGATGCACATAAGAATTTAATTTGTAGAAGGTCTCAGTCATTTAGTTTATCCTCTGCAGTTTGCACATTTTGGGTTATGCTTGTTAGTCTACTTACACCATAGATTAGGGCCCCTGAATTTGGCCCTATTTTATCTTTGATGAACTTTATGTTGTTGTTGTTAAGTGCCATCGAATCATTTCCAATTCATAGTGACCCCACGCACAGCAGAACGAAACACTGCCCGATCCCGCGCCAGCCCCACAATCCCTGCTATACTTGAGCCCATCATCGCAGCCACCGTGTCAATCCATCTCGTTGAAGGCCTCCCCCTCTTTCGTCGACCCTTCACCCTACCAAGCATGTCATCCTTCTCCAGGGAATGGTCCAAAATAGGTGAGACGAAGTCTGGCCATTCTTGCTTCCAAGGAGCATTCTGGCTGCACTTCCTCTAGGACAGATCTGTTAGTTCTTTCAGCAGTCCATGGTACTTTCAGCATTCTTCGCCAGATGAACTTTATAGTTTTGAGTTTTACATCTAGGTCTTTGAGCTATCTTGAGTTAGTTTTTGTGTATGGTGTGAGGTGTGGATTTTGTTTCATTTTTTCTGCAAATGGATAATGAGCTTTGCCAGTATCATTTGTTGAAGAGGCTATCTCTCAGGGGCAGCCCTTTTAAAAGATATAAAAGAAACAGCTCCTTAAGGACCTTATTGGATCATCATGAGAGAAAAGACAAGCCAAAATATTTGTAAGCAAGCAAGTAATAATAGTGTCTGAGGACCAGTACATACATATTAAAGGAAGTATATACATACATACATATCTACACATATAAATATGCCTAAATATATGGAACAACCACCATGGTGATTAGATGGCAGCCCTTTTTGAAAGAGGTGAGTAATTAGTTGGCCACTGAATCTTCTTTTAAGAAAATAAGAATGTAAGTCACAGAACCTAGGAAGACTTAACTGTTAAGTTATCTGTTACATGGTGAAAGTGGAAGTGGTCACTCAGAGACTGAGTATCATTTCTAGGGAAGGCTTTGGTGGCTGACCTAGTGTAGACTTTACTCAGTGGCATTACCTCAGCAGTTCTTCTGTGTTCTTGTCTCCATGATCAGTGGGTCCAGAAACTCACATCTTCTTTGTGGCTCTGGTATTGATTTGCATCATGAAGACTGACTCTGTCCAACCAAATTCATAAGAAATGAAAGTGTAAAGTAGTTACCTGTTATTGTTTTACAGTATGAACTGGAATGACGGTGTTGGCAAGATCAGTAGATACTCTCTTTGTAAGCAGAAGTTAAATTATAAGCAGAAGGATTCTTGGTCTGGACTGTAGTATTATGGGTGATTTTTATTTTCTTCTTAGTGCTGACCTATATATTAAAATTTTGTCATATATTGATTTTTCTAAAACAAAAAGAATAAGTGATTTTTAATAGAAACATTGAAGACAAAAAGTGTTATTTGGTAAACAAGGAAACACTTGTTGAATAGTTAATAGGTATTGATTTTATAGTATAGCTCTCAGAGTTTTTGGAATAACTTTTTGGATAAAGTCAATTGTGTGTGCATGTGTATGTATAAATATCCCATCCTTCCTTTTACTTATGAATATATTTCACATATACTACAGCTTGAAAGAGATTTATTGTCATACTTTTGAACAATTCTCCATTTGAATCTTTATGATTTTCTTCCAAAGGACATTTTATGAAATTCGTCAAAACTTATTTTTGGTAAATTAAGATGTGTTTATTCATAATGAAGCAAATTTGTAGTATCTTCTCTTTGTCTTTACCCTTGAGCAGATCTCTCTTCCCTGGAGTTGATACTTGTCAATATTGTGTGTTCATATTTAATACCTTATGAATGACAAAGTGACATTTTTTTGTTTCAGGAATTCTATACCTTTGGAAGAATATTGGGACAAGGGAGCTTTGGAATGGTCATTGAAGCTATAGACAAGGAAACAGAAACTAAATGGGCAATTAAAAAAGTAAATAAAGACAAGGTAAGGCTTATTAGCATCACCATACCAAGGGCACAGTGCATGTGGGTATAAGCAGTACAATTTTCACACTAACACAAGCTTCCTCTGAACCTGAGGGCCAGACCTGGGTCATTTCCCTGAAGAAGTACGGTTATTTCTCTCAGGTTCTGAAAAGAGTCCAGTTCTTGAACTTAAGTAGACAAGTGGAAGAATTAGCTAATACCTAACACATACAACCAAATACAGGTAAAATTTACTAGAGTGAGTTAAAGGTAAAGGCTGTTTTTAAGTATGTGTGGATGTAGGATTGTGTGCTAAAGATGTTTTGCAAGTTATAAGCCATGATACTCTCTCTTGATGTTATTATGATATTCCTTCTCCCACACGAGGTAGTAATGAGTTAGAATTGACTTGATGACAACATCCTCTCTTTTCATTTGGCGCTGTATTTCCTCACTATTAGCTAATTCTCTTTTTATTCATCCTTCCTGCTCTTTCAGTTTAAACCATTCTTTTTTTCTGTCTACTATACTATTTACTTGTATCCACTATATTCCTCACTGGATTTCCTCTTGGAGTGGAAAATGTCTAGTCTTCTAGTTAAGGTAGAGTCTAAGATACTCACTTCAGGCTTCATACCTGATCATTTAATCAACTCTTTTTAACATCTCTATGCCTGGGAAAAACCAAAACGGCATCATTCTAGTATTCTTTCCTTGGATTTGTGATAATAAATATTACATTTATAAAATGAAATAGGAGGTTTATTTGTATTCTTTAAAACAAGCTCTACAAATGATGGTGCATGTCATCTTCCCCTAAAGTTTAATAAAGCACTAACAACAACAACATATAACTCTTAATAAAGGGAGACCCAGAGCCTTTCTATGATTCTTTAGAATTATAGAAGCGTGGTGCTACCTGGGATGCTATTTCCTTTGTTTCTGTGGTAGTTAAGGTTGTGTGTAAACTTAGCTTGGCCTGGTTGAGTGGCTGGGCAGCTAGATGCAAGTTTTCCCATTGTGTGATTGGTAATTAATGCTATGGTGGAATCTACTGAAAAGCAGCTGAGTAGTTGTTTTAGGAATGTGGGCTGTTTCCAGTATGTAAGAAGCAACTTTGAGGAAGGTCTCCAGCTTTTCGGCACGCTTGAACCCTGCATGTAGCCAAGTCGTTGTTCAACAGCCTGCCATGCACTGCCAATCTTAGGACTTCTGGATTTGAATTAGTGGCCTGCCATGTTGTTTGGTAACATTGGGACTATGCCTTTTTACTTGTCAACCTTGGCAGCCAGCAGCTGCCTGAGTGAAGAAAACCCTCCAGCTTCAGTAGGTCAGGAACAGGAGCCCAAGATTAAGGGGCTTTCACCCAGCCCCTAGAGCCTGGGTGACTTCTAGCCTACAAAACTATAAGAGAATAAACTTCTATTTGTTCAAGCCATTCCATTTGTAGTATTTTCCTGTCAAAGTGGCACTAAATAACCAAAACAGCTTCTTTGAGATCATGTGGCATTAGGGGTTAAGTTTTAGAGTTATATAGACAGGGTAGCTACTTGCATTTTAGGAGTTCATAATCTTTCACAGATATATCGATGTTGAGAGTTTACGGGACACTAAGATAAGGCACTTGACTGCTAACCAGAAGGCTAGTGGTTCAAACCCACCATCCACTCCTTGGAAGGAAGATGGAGCAATCTACTTCCATAGTGATACTGCCTTGGCAACCCAAGGAGGGGTCGCTATGAGTCGGGTCTGACTTGATGGCACATAATAACAACAAGATAGTAGAATAAATTTACACAGTCAGTATATGAATTGGATAATGTATTACTACATTATATGCAGGTCAAGCCATTTGTGACAAGGAAGGAACAGAGTTGAGATGGAAATTAGGAGAAATGGTAGGAGTTTTCCATGTTTAGACTATAAGGAATCTACTTCTCAGTCACTATTTCTCTTGACCCACTAGGATAACCTTAAGATATGACTTTAACTCTACATGAGTGGGCCATAGTGAGATGGGCAGTATCCCATTCATTCCTGTAATGGTAATGGCTGAAGAGTAAAGGTAATTGGAAGCAGGGATGATCCTAGGTGAAATTTTAACTAAGTAATGTTTGCCTTAGGATCAATCCATTTCCACTTTTTTAAGAACCAATATGTACTCTCCCAGATTTACCACACTGGGGAACTAGGATCATTATTATTACCCTTTCAAGTATATTTTTATGTGGAAATAAAGCTCATAAATGAGTACACAACTTATCCTTAAATAATAGCAGTTTAATTATCAATAGAGGTGATGATTTGGGGTATCTAAGAAATTTTAGAGGGTGGAGAAAGCCCTTCTGAAATTTCTTAGAGGACATTGTAGACAATTAGTTACCTACATCCTCAGTAGAGGCCTTATGCTTCCTGTGGTGTTTCTGCCTTTACCTTTTGCTGTCAGATATGGGTAAGGCTTAGATACTAGGAGATAAAGTTGAAGTTAGGTTAGTCTGAAGGCTCTCTCTTTCTCTCTTGTGGTTAGTTTTTGAGGCCAGGTAGACCGGAAGGTGAAATAGTGAAGGGCCTAGTATAGGATCTCATTGCCCATTGTTTGTTTTGTACTTTTTGTGTATATCCAAGCAAATCAAAACAGAAGAGCAACAAGAAAAGAAAAACATTTTGTTTTTATCTTTTTCAATTGATGGTCCTGGCAAGTAGATTTTATTAATACTATGCTAACATCAAAGGATCAACATGATTTTGGAGTAAATATTAAAAGTATATTAAAAATTAGAATAATTTTGTGAGAGGACAGACACTATGTTGTAGCTAATTTCTAGAAATCATCCAAGAGACAGATGTGGTTTGAGGCCAAATAATGTATAACTTAGAACTGGATAAAGAGGGGAATAAAAGGCACAATTTAATATGATGATAGAAATAAATCTCATGTTATCATTTGAAAAAGAAACAAAGAAAATGCAGGAAAAATATTAAATAACTTTCATATCGAGACACATAAGTTGTTGTTGTTGTTAAGTGTCATTGAGTCGTTTCTGACTCATAACAACCCCATGCACAGCAGAACGAAACACCACCCAATCCCGCAACAGCTCCACGATCCCTGCTATACTTGAGCCCATTGTCGCAGCCACTGTGTCAATCCATCTTGTTGAGGGCCTTCCCCTCTTTCATCAACCCTCCACCTTACCAAGCATGACATCCTTCTCCAGGGAATGGTCCCTTCTGACAACATGACCAAAGTAGGTGAGACAAAGTCTGGCCATTCTCGCTTCCAAGGAGCATTTCGGGGGCACTTCCTCCATGACATATCTGTTAGTTCTTTTAGCAGTCCATGGTACTTTCAGCATTCTTTGCCAGCACCACAACTCAAAAGCATCAACACACGAAGGAGTGACATTCATATGTGAAATCTGTGTTTCCTCTTTAATTAAGGCTGGAAGCTCTGCTGTGAAGTTACTTGAACGGGAGGTGAACATCCTAAAAAGTGTGAAACATGAGCACATCATACATCTTGAACAAGTGTTTGAGACGCCTAAGGTAAGGCTCTATCAGGTGCTGCATTTTACAAGTTGTTATTGTTACATAATGACCATTATTCCATTCTGAAATAATGCCTTTGGGACACAGATACTCATGTCCTTGGCACGAATCTGTCACTGGAGATTGATGAGAGCATTCTGGAGGACTTTTATTATTGATTGTATGGTTAGATTTCTGATAATTAGATCAGTGCCTTTAGTGATATTTCTGGGTGGCATGTTGAAAACAAATGTTTCAAGTTGAAATAACTTCACATGTAACCAAATAGTGATTAAAGTGCTTCCGAAGAGATAGCTTTCCTTTTGCTTTGGTCCTTAGTTTCTCCATTAGAGTCTCTTAGAATGTCATAATTTTGTAAGATGAACTTCATAATCAAATTACCATGGATATTAGGCACTTTGGAGAAGATACTTGTCATTTATGTCTTTAAAACATGTTTTACAATTAGTCCAAAGACCAGAAGAATTAGATGGTGCCTGGCTACCCCTGTTGACTGCACTGAAAGGGATCATAGTAGGAGGTCCTGAATAGAGTATGAGAAAATGTGGAACACAACTCAAAGTCATAAAAAAGGCCAGACTTACTGGTCTGATGAAGGCTGGTAGAACCCCTAAGATTATGGCCCTTAGACATCCTTCAAGCCTGGAGCTGAACTCAATCCTTGTGGCTCAACTTTCAGCCAAATGGTAGATAGACCTATAAGGTGAACAGTGATACCAGGAGGGTATGCACTCATTAGAACAATCAACCATACAAGATCAAGAGGACAGCATTTGTCCAGGGATAGAGCTAGGAAGATGGAGAGGACGGGGAGGAAGGATGAAGGGAAGTGGTTGACACAGGGAAGAAATGGAAGAGTGCTGTTGTATTATAGGGATTGCAGTGAATGTCACAAAACAAAATATGTAGGGATTGTTGAATGGAAAACCAATTGGCTCTGTAAACTTTAACCCAAATGACAATAAAAAATATTAAAGCAACAAAACAAAACATGTTTTATCTTCTAGATGTTCTAATTCTTCTCTTTAAATACCTATAATTTTCATTTAGAGTTATTAGGAAGCCTGGTCATTGACCAGTATGCCTCCAGATTGTTTAGTGCCTGTGAACTTGGGTGTTTCTCACGTGGAGGCAGTTTATATAGTGGTTAGGCATGTGGGCTCTGGAGTCAGATTGCTGGGGGTTGAATTTAGGCTTCATCACTTATTAGCTGTGAGACCCTGGACAAGCTACTCATCTCTCTACCCCTCAGTTTTCTCACCTGTAAAATATTTTTAATAATAGTTGTTGTTGTTGTTGTTGTTGTTATTTGCCGTCGAGTCAAACCTGACTCATAGTGACCCCTCCTTGGATTTCTGTGGCAGTATCACTAACAGAAGTAGATTGCCCAACCTTCCTTCTGAGGAGTGGCTGGTGGGTTTGAACCGCCAGCCTTCTGGTTAGCAGTCTAGTGCCTTAGGCACTATGCTACTGGAGCTCCTTTTAATAAAAGTATCTACCTCATTTAGTTGTTGAAGAATTAAATGGGAAAATGGATGTAAAGTACCTGTCTCATTAAATAGTAGCTATTCTTTGTTTCCTTTACCAGCCACTAAGAAAGTAATAGTTTGTGTTATACATTATGCTATTAAAGACCACAGTAATCCTTCAAAGGAGTTGTATATAACAGTGATGCCAAATGTCTTCTCTACCCTTTTCAACCTTAGAGCTGTGATTTCTTTTATGCCAAATTTAGAAGAGTTTTCCACTTTATCACCAGTTTTGAACAATTTGAATAGTATATGACTTAGCATAGTTTTCTTCATATTTCTTATACATAAAATTGATGGAGCTTCTTGAATCTGTGAGTTTATGATATTCATCAAAATTTAAGAAAAATTTGGCTATTATTCTTCAAGTATTTGTTTCTGTATTCCCATCTTTGAGGATTCCAAGTACACATACTTGCTGTTATCCATAGCTTAATGATTCTGTTTGCTTTTTCAATGCTTGTGTAAAAATGTCATGGTGACATCAGACCTTGTCTAACTTCCTAATGGGGAGAGGAGAAAATCAAGATAATCAGTCCAAGGCTAATTCCTATGAGGTGGAGGTCAAACATACTTCCACTCTCTAACCTTCCTACCAGTTCTGACACCAGCTGACACTCTCTACTTCTCTGCTGGGCTTGATAATTCATTGTGATGGCCACACAGAACTCACAGAGCATACTCACAGTTACGGGTTTATTAGGGAAGTAACAACTCAGGATATAGTTATTTGATTAGAACAGCTTCTTCTCAGCCATGCGCCCATGCAGTCCTGTCCCTTTACTCCTCCGTCCCTTGGTCCTTTGGCCCCTTGGTCCCTCAACCCTTGGTTCTCTGCCTGGCCTCTGCCCTGCTCAGGCAAGTGTTAGGAAGCTCCTTTGTTCCAACAGTAACTGTGCCATCTCATGTTGTTCTGGTTCTGCTGCCGCTGTTTCTCTGCTGCTAAACTCTGTTGAGCTTGCCACCACTTCTTGCCATCTCATTCTATTTCTGGTGTTATAGCTCTTTGTCGCCTGGGTGTAGGAGGTTTTCAGCACAGAGAACTCAGATCCAAAGGGTGTGCTCTGCTTCTGGCTTTTCTTTATGGTAGTGAAGTCCCCTCTTTTCCACTCTGGGATTTGCTCCCGTTAAGCCTAGCAGATGGCAAAACTGACCAATCCCTTGCCTGGGGTTCCATATACTTTATTTGCCCTATTAACAGATTGTCCAGTCCTCTTGGTGAGCCACAGGCATCTTACTCACATAGTTCCAGCCATCCATTTTGTGGGACTCATGAAGACCGTTTTTAGAAGGGCTGTATTAAGTAATTCACTATACCATGGTCATTAACTTTTGATTGGCTACTAGTGAATTTTTCCTTATTGGATGTTGAGTATTTTTATATTCTCACAGTTATATTGGAGATTTTTTTTCTAGCTCACAGTTAAGCTACTTGGAAACAGTTTGATACTTTTGAAGCTTGTTTAAGCTTTTTTAGGTATAAATAGAGCAGCCTTTAGTTTAGGGATAATTCTTCCCTTCTGCTGAAGCAAGACCCTTCTGACTACTCTACTCAATGTCCTTTGAATTACAAGGTTTTTCACTCTGGTGGGACTTCAAACTATTCCTGGCAAATGTAAGCTCCAGTGAATGCTCTCTGCTCCATTTGCGTGGCACTTTTCCCAGCTTTGGGTAGTTTTCTCATACACATGTGCTGATTAGTACTCTGCTAAAAACTTGAAAGGAGACCCTATGCAAATCTTTGGAGCTCTCTGCACAGTTTTCTCCTCTTTGGTTCTCTGCACTGTGCACAGTTATTGTCTTGACCTTCCTGGATTCTCAGCTCCATTTGCAATCAGGAATATTGCTGGACTCTGCTTGAATAACCCCTCCCTACTCTGTGGCCTGGAAACTCTTCAACTAGTAAGCTGAGATAATCATGGGGTTCACTTCATATGTTTCCCCTCTTTAAGGGATCACTGCCTACTTCTGCTTGATGTCCAATATCTGAAAAATGTTATTTCCTATATTTTGTTCATTCTTTAATTGTTTTAGGTGGGAGGATAAGTTTGGGCTCTGTTATTTTGTCTCAGTCACAAGTGAGAGTCCAAATCTAGAATGTTTTTAAGGCAAAGGAAACCATCTGTGATTGTCCTTTTTATGTATTATTTGCCTTTATTTCACACAGAACAGATCTGCCCTCCCTCCCCAAATGCCTAGACTTCCCATTTAAGGATTAATGGAAACTGCTACCTGATTGGTTAGGCCATGGTGATTGGTGCTGATCACTTAATTTGACTATGCTGGTTTCTTGTGAATCCAAATGTTCTTCAGGTCTATGTATTTTTTTCTCTCTAATAATTACAAAAGAAGACTTGCTTTGTAATTTCATGATGTAACTTTTATCGACTTACATACACCCAGTCCTCACTTATCAACATGATTAGCTTCCAAGACCAGGTCCGCATTTGAAATTCACGTTATGCAAGAGTTGAGGGCCGTGCCCCGCCTTTGGCACTGGTGTTCCCACAGTCACTCCTGACCTGTCAGGCTCCCTCATCGCATCTTGCAGTGCATGTTGGCAGAGACTCCACTCATTTTCTGTCTGCTCCAGCCCCACAGCCCTGTGAGTCCCTTTACTTCCCCCCTTTTGCCTTCCCTCATGGTCTCCCTGGCATCTTTGGGCCCTCTCCTGGCCTCCATCTGCTTATGACCTTATGTCATCCACTGTCACTCCACACCTTATGTGGCTGGACAGACATCACAAACAAATGAGAGATGGCATTGCAGAAGAATGAGAGAAGGTGTGGCCCAGTTGTTGCGGAAACCTCCAGTATGTTGTCCAGGGTGGCCCACAAAGGGCACCCCAGGCCTGGTTACAGCCCCATGTAGGGCCTAGACCATTGCAGATACCACCTGAGATTTTTTTCAAAGTTGTCATAGATGTGAAATGTCATATAATGAGATAAGTGAGGACTAAGTGTACTTAAAATTGACATCAATTTATATTGTAAGTACTGCTAAGGCAACCTTTCTTTGTAAATCTTCCACTTACCATTTCATGTATCATCCCTACAGTGCTGCCAGTGGAAAAAATATAGCCCAGTTCAAAAGCTTATTTGCTTGGTAGACTTTGCAGATTTCTAAAGTTATTTGTGAAATTCAAAGGCATTCCGAGATTCAGAGAAATCAATTGTGGCTTTAGGAGGAAATGTGTTAACCTTCTCTTTCTGTTTTCATGCTTGCTATTGAACTCAAGTGTTGCATTAGCAGTGGTTGTAAAAACAGAATCGGACTCCAAAATCTTAAAAACAACAACAAAATCCAGAAGCACAGGACAAAATGGAGATGTGGCAGACAGTCTGTAGAGTAATAGGTTTGGAAAAGTTTTAGCATTTTAGTTGACTGTGAATTCTGTTTGACTTAATAGATGACTTGTCTGTTGGAATATCTAAATGCTTTGAATATGCATCAACAGAAACAGCAAATATGAAAGAGACATTTCATCTATGACTTCTTACCATTCACATCCAATTAGTTACTAAGTCCCACTGTTTCTTCACCACAGGTATATTTCACGTCTTTTTTCTTCTCCTTCATTCTGTCTCCATTCTGGACCTCACATCCACCCTCTATAACTTGTCATTAGCTATGGTCAAGTTGGCCCCCAACTCATGGCATCCCCATGTGTAATAGAGCGGAACCTACTCCCTAGGGTTTTCTTGGCTGTAATCTTTATGGAAGTGGTTCTGCAAGACTTTCTTCCATGGAGCCACTGGGTGGTTTCAAACCACCAACCTTTTAGGTTTAGCAGTTGGTCGCAAACCACTCACACCACACAAGCTCCTTTTCCCTCTATAACTAGTGGCCAGCAAACAGCCTGTTAGCCAACTCTGGCCTGCTGGTCATTTTCGTGTGGCCCATGAGCTAAGTCTTTCACATTTTTAAATGGTTGAAAGAATTTTTTAAAGAATATTTCAGGACATATGAAAATTATATGCAACTCAGATTTAAAAATCCATAAATGAAGTTTTGTTAGAACATAGCTATGCTCACTTGTTTATTTATGACTGTGTTTGTACTACAACAGCAAAGGTGAATAGTTGCAACAGAGACAGTATGGCTGGTAGAGCTGAAAAGATTGACCATTTGACCATTTACAGAAACAGTTTGCTGACCACTGCACTACACTACTATTCGGGTATTCATTCAGAAATGCAAAATATTGCACACCTCTGCCCCTACCCCCCCAATCCCAATACCAACTTAAAAACCTTCAGTAGCTCTTTGCTGCATATGGGAAAAAGCCAAACTCCTTAGCATGATATCTAAGACATTTTACAGTGTGCCACCAACCTATTCTTTCTATCCTTGTTCCTCACCACTCCACTCTTCTCCCCACCAAGCTCCCAGTGGTATTAACATTGAAGGGTTTGTTTTTCTTTTAATATTCAGTGGTATTTCAAGCTTCGGAGTCTTTGCAAGTATCATATGCCCTGCCTACTCTTCCCTACATTCTCCATCCATAAGTTCCTGTTCAGACATCCAGACCAGTCTTCAGTGACACCTCCTCAGGGAGAGTTCTTCAAGTTCTTTAGGCAGAGGCTACCCCTCCTCTGTGGCCCCAAGATATTTGGAGCCTCCCTCTTCTATTAGCACTTATCATGTGATATTATAATTACCACTATACTCTAAGTTCCTTTTGAAGGCAGAGTCTGTCATATACTTATTTGTCCCTCTAGTATCCAGCACAGTATTTTGTATAAAATAGACAACAAGTATTTTTGAATGAATAAATTAATGATTAAGATTTGATAAGATTTCCACTGTGTATATGTAATACATAATAGTTTTTAAAGATTCCCAACTATGTAATTTGTCTTTTTTTTCTTATATATGTATATCTATATAATACCAGCGAATGTACCTTGTGATGGAGCTTTGTGAGGATGGAGAACTCAAAGAAATTCTGGATAGGAAAGGGCATTTCTCTGAGAATGAGACAAGGTGGATCATTCAAAGCCTTGCATCAGCTATAGCATATCTTCACAGTAAGGGTAAGAAAAGACTCATCCAACTCATTGATTCCCTGAATGCAGATATCACTTTTGTTTAAGAGTTATTGTATTCAGGATTCATGGTCACATTAATAATGACTGCTAACATAGATTTTAGAAACCACATTAAAAATTAGTCTGTTTTACTATTCTTTGGCATTACTACTGCTGCTTTTCATCATACTCTCTCCCTCTCTCTTTTTTTTCTACATGAGACTTTAGAATTTTATCATTTTCCATATGAGAAAAACTTTGTTGCAGATAAGTGCTGTGACCTGGTTAGGTGTGTCAGAGCTGACATTGTAATCCAGTCTTCATTTAACAGATATTTACTAAGCATCCACTGTATTGTGGTTGGTTCTAGAGCTACCAACATTAAAATCCAAGGCTCCTGGCCCTCAAGAAGTCCAGGCTGATGGGAGGTTGAGCATGGGAAACATCAATAACTTAACATGGTATTTCTCTGACAGAGAGACATACCAGGTTCAAGGAGCATAGTGTATAAGTACCTCATTTGTTTTGGAAAGTCAGGGAAGAATTCCCACAGGAAGCAATGCTTGAGCTGAAGAATACAAACTCAGAAAAAAAGAGATTTCTGAGCAGAGGTGACAATTTTTACAAAGATAGAAAACTGAAAGCTGAATATTACACTAATGCCATTTCTCTCACATTAAGCTATAAATTTAGCATAATTCCAAACAAAATCGTAACAGGATTTTTCATGGAACTTGATGAGATTGTTCTGAAATGGAGAGTAGCCAAGAAAACAATGAAAAAGAAGAAAAGGGAGGCTGGGGGCTTGTCTTATGAAGGATCAAAATATAAAGTACTTATGTAAGAAAAGAAAAGCAGAGCAATGGAAACAATAAAGATTTCAAAAACAAAGCCTGGGAACTATGTGAGGGAACTATAATAAATGCTTACGTATAATTACCAGTCCAGGGCTCATTCAACTACATTTTCCAGAAATTATACAAATAACTTTTTAAGCCTGCCAAATTTGATTGTTACAGATATGAACCGAATCAGGTATTTACAAAAGAAGTTTGGTACATAATTATTTGCATATACATAAAAATTTTATCAGAGCTCTGACATGTTCAATTGAAGATTTTGTGTCTCAGGGGTTTTTGTTTAATAGATCTTTATTTTTAACATAGAAAGGGTAGGAAAATATTTGTGGATATTGTAGAAAAATATACTGAGATAAGTACAGTTTGTGTATGTTGTAACCAAGTTGCAGTATGCTAAATGTCCATCTGGCAGCAAGCATAAGCATCTCACTGCTGTTGAGTCGGATCTGACTTATAGTGACCCCTCCTTGGGTTTCTGAGGTGGTTTCATTACGGAAGTAGATTGCCCAACCTTCCTTCCGAGGAGTGGCTGGTGGGTTTGAACCACCAGCCTTCTAGTTAGCAGTCAAGTGCCTTAGGCACTGTGCCACCAGAGCTCCCAAACATAAGCATAGAAGTATAAAAATAATTCTCTATTTGAAGAGTGAGGGATATGGAAAACATTTCTAGGCTTATGACAGATTGTCTCCCTCATCCTGGGAATACCTAACCTTGGGCAGGATCCTCCTGCATATTCACCAGGTCACACACTACATGAAGAGCAGCCAGTGGGGCAGCGGGGGATGGATAGAGATGAGGTAGTCAAAAGAAAAATGGCTCTTTAAGGTTAGAAATGTGGGAAAGAAGGGGTTGTGAATAAGAGAATAGAACAGGGCAGAATTACACTTGGCTCTCCTCAGATTTTTCAAAGTGGACGCTAATCTGTCAAATATACTTTTTCTGTTTGTGTTCTGTTATTATTTTTCCATTATTGATTTCATTTGGTTTGTTGTTTATTTTCCTGGTAGATATAGTACATAGAGATCTAAAACTGGAAAACGTAATGGTTAAAAGCAGCTTTATTGATGCTAACAATGAGATGAACTTAAACATAAAGGTAAGATAATGAGAAACGGTGGTAAATATTTGCCTATAAAAAGTGTGATAGCAAAATGGGAAACTGCACCCTTTGTTTAGATACATATTGGTAGCTTTTGAACAGTCAGAATATAAATGGTTTGTGCTAAAAAAATTTCACAAAAGAGGTTATGACTGATAAGAATAACTTTAAAAGTTAAATGGTGCTTTTAAATGTTTTTTTTTTAAAGTACATATTCATTTGGATAGTTCTAAATCATTAGTTAATAGCAAGTCAACAGATGCTCTGAATTCTAATTAATTTCAAAATTATGCTTGGTAATTTGATGTAAATGTGTTACAGATTTAGAGAAAAGCACACCAATACTGTGCCTTTGACTGTACAAAAATCTGTATTCCTCATTGAAAATTTCCTAGGTATTAATATTTATGTTCTAAACACAATTAATGTGCCAAGTGTTTATTCTTGAGGATTTTATTCAAATTAAATGTTCATTAATGTCAGATAAATGATGGGGTACATTATTTATTACTTAGCAATTTAATAGTAGCTGCTTCAAAATATATGAATGTGTTAATTTAGGAATAAAATGTCTGTGAACAACTCACCTGGTTGCAGAAGCAAAATCCCTATGTAATATAAGTATGTTTAATAGCATTGCTGTTTTACTGAAGTGAATGTTCTTGAATAGTTTTATTATAAACTCCATGAGGGCAGAATTGTACATACCCTATTCACTATTGTACCTAGAGTAGTGCCTGAAACTTCATATATGCTTAATTAATATTTGGTGAATGATGGAATAATGTTCTCCAGAGACCTTAATTGAATTGTGAAACTTTCTGTATAGTTGATACCTATATAGATTTTCTGTGGAAAAGATGGATCATAATGCTCCAGGTAGGATATTTGTGCAAATTCCTGGAGAAATTGTTTCATCTATTTAGAAGAGTGACATCATGTGTTAATAGGAACATTTTCTTACTTTATAAGGCACTGGAAACTGTGCATTCAGTGGCTGTGGACCAAGGGTCTATCTTTGCTTGTTTGCTCCATCAATGTGCCTGTTTTTCTGCTTTCAGCCCAAGGCTGTTCCAAGTTGGGAGACAAGACCAAAGGCACATGCTGAATGTTTAATGACCAAGATTTAGAACTTGAGCAGAAAGACTGTGGTTGCAGCAGTAGGCCTCCAGTGTATTCGTAGCTATACTGTGTTTTTGTTATTTTCCTGCTAATTTTCTTCTTGTAGTTTTTAACAGTGTAGTAATTATTGTAATTAGTATACTCTGGAAACACAAAGGAAATAATAGTAAAGGAAAGATAGTATTTACCAATCTTAAATAACTGTAAAAAATAATGGCGTTTCAGTGACTGCTGACAAAGATAATGATTTGCATTTTAACGTGCTTTAAACTGGGACATGGTTTGAGTATCAGAATAACAGATGAGAAACATACTAAGGCTAGAATATATTTTACAATGAAAGTACTTAAAACAAAACAAAACTTTATCTGAAAAATGTTAAATGCCTTTTTTCAAGATGCTGCTTTCTCTAATGAACTGATGGATTTAATTAGAGGGCATAAACAATTAGTGTTGTGGGAGTTTTCTCAAGATTTGGGAAACCAAGCTTCCCTTTACCAAGTTTCTTTTCCTCACAGAGGGGGAAGTGGAGAGAGATAAGCAAGGTCTTTATTAGTAATATAAGTAAAGCCCCTCCCTCCCCCAAGAACCCTTCAGTAAATGTAATGATGATGTGGTGAAAATCCTACCCTGAGAATGAATTAGCTCTGGAATATGAAAACAGTTGCCTGTGCTCAAGTTTCTTCTTTTAGGTGACTGATTTTGGCTTAGCAGTGAAGAAGCATTGTAGGAGTGAAGCTATGCTGCAGACCACATGTGGGACTCCTATCTATATGGGTAAGATAGTAGACTCACGACAATTTTTTTTTTTTAAATACATATGAAAGTTGTTATTGTTGGGTGCCATCAAGTCAGTTTTTGGCTCATAATGAATCCACATGACAGAGTAAAACTGCCTCATAGGGTTTTCTAGGCTGTAGTCTTTTTTGTTTTGGTTTTTGTAGTCTTTATGAGAGGAGCTCTGGTGGTGTAGTGGTTAAGGCATTTGTCTGCTAACCAAAAGATCAGTGGTTTGAACCAATCAGCAGCTCCATGGAAAAAAGATGAAACAGCTTCTGTAAAGATGACAACCTTGGAAACCCAAAGGGGTGTTGGTTTGAGTCTTTATGAGAGCAGATTGCAAGGTCTTTCTCTTGTGGAGCCACTGGGTAGGTTTGAACTACCAACCTTTTGGTTAGTAGTAGAGCACTTAACCCTTGTGCCACCAGGGCTCCTTATGTATAAAAGTAGAATAACTAATATGAATTGAAACTTGAGCAATTTTATTTTGCTGTTATGACTTAATGACCTTGGTTGAGCTACATCTTTTCTTTTCTTAGTTCAAATAATTTCAGTTGTTTTAGTGTTTTTCTCAGAGCTTCTGTCTTCAAACATTTTTGTAATTTCTATTGTTTCTCTGAACTCTTCTTAAATTGTTTATATCTCTTAATCATACCCCAAACTTAGTTGTTATTTTTGTTAATTCATGCTAAAATTGTGTGTGTATTTTGTTTCTTTGCCATCAAATTAGTGTTTCATAAAGAATACTGATTAAATACAGTTCGTAAAGCAGTAATTCCTAAACACGATTTTTAACAGCTTTATTGAGGTATAACTTAAGTACATAAAAAAATGTATGTCAGTGATTTTTAGTACATTTGTAAAGTTATACAACCATCACCACAATCCAGTTTTAGAACATTTCCACCTCAAAAAATTTCCTATGTCCGTTGGCATTCACTTCTGTTCCCATTCTAGCCCCAGAGAACCAGTTATCTTCTTTCTGTCTCTCTAGATTTATCTCTTCTGGACATTATATGTAAAAGGAATCACACAATATGTAGTATTTTGCATCTAGTTTCTTTCATTTAGCATAATATGTTTGAAGTGCATTCATGTCATAACATGTATCAATAGTCTATTCTTTTTTATTGCTGAATAGTTTTTGTTGTATGGATATGCCACATTTTGTTTTTCAATTCACCAACTAATGGGCATATAGATTGTTCTCAGTTTGGGGCTATTATGAATAATGCTGCTATGAACATTCATGTACAAGTCTTTGTGTAGACATATGTTTTCATTTGCCTAAGGATAGGAGCTCTGATGATGCAGTGCATAAGGCATTTGGCCTCTAACCAGAAGGTCGGCAGTTCAAACCCATCAGCTGATCCATGGGAGGAAGATGAGGCAATATACTTCTGTAAAGATTTACCCTCTTCGGAATATATCCTAAAGAGGTGAGAGGCAGCACACGAACAGACACATGCATGCCTATGTTCATCGCAGCGCAATTCACTGTAGCAAAGAGATGGAAACAACCTAAATGCCCATTAATGGACGAATGGATGACCAAATTATGGTACATTCACACAAAGGAATACTATGCTACATTAAAGAACAATGAAGGATACATGAAATCATCTCACAACATGGATAAGCCTGGAGGACATTATGCTGAGTGAAATAAGTCAATCGCAGAAGGACAAATACTGTATGATCCCATTACTGTAAAAAGACAAAGAAGGGTTTATTTGAGAAAGGGAACTCATTTTGTAGATAACCAGGGTGGGGAGGGAAGGGGAGGGATTAATTTCAGGCTAGTTGGGGGCCACACTCTGGCATGGGTAAGGGGAGGGATGGTATAGAAAGAGTCCAGGACCATCATGATAGCATTAGGAAAAGGGAGGACACTGAATTGTGCATATAATATATAGAAGACAGATGCTAATGCCAACCAGTATATCCATAATACTGCATTACCATTAACACCAAACACCAGGCTACGGATAAACACATAAACATCTGAGAAGATCAGATAGGGGTCAATGAACAGGAGTATACTCTAGACCAAGGATAGATTCAGTGGAGGCTAATCTTGCACAGATACCAGTGATACCTGTAGTCCTTACAAAACAGCAGAAGAGAGACATAGAGTAATCCCTCACAGACAGCCAGACACTGTGGGAGAGAGATCCAATGGATCTGCTGAGTCAGGTGGATAGTATTGGGGCACAACAGACTCAAGTGGCACAACAAAATACATAACAATCTTGTTCTTCATCCTACATTGGTGAGTAGCGACTGGGGTCTTAAAAGCTTTCAAGTGGCCATCTAAGATGCAGCTAATGGTCTCCTATTGTTGGAAGCAAATAAGAGTGCAAAAGCACAAGGGCATTTGGAAGCAATCAGGCCTAGGACACAATGGCCCTCGAGACCAGAAGAACCAGATGGTACCTGGCTACCAATGCCAACCACTCAGGAAGGGATCAAATCTGGAGATCCTGGATAGAGTGGGATGAAAAACGTGGAACAAAATCCAAAAACTCAATAATGACCAGAATTACTGGTGAGAGGGAGTTTGGTGAGACCCCCAGTACTATGGTCCTGGGATACATTCTGGGCCTGGAACAAAGCTCACTTCCAAGGGCTGGCTCTCAGCCCGGTGGTAAACAAAATATCTACATGCAGATCATTCAACCCAGGGTGATGCACCCATATACTCTGTGGAAATGCATCCCTTAGAGCAGTCAACCACCCATGGGACACCAGAGAAGCAACATTCTCAGAGAGGAAATGCAGGACACACAGGAGTGCATAACTATGAGGGGCACGGGGGCAGGGAAGGTTACTGGGCAGGGAGGAGAGGACAGTGGGTTAGGGTTGGGGATGGTAAATGGGGAGGGAAACTAAATGTACATGTAATGTTGAATGTAAAACAAACTCTTAAAATAAAAAATGTTTAAAAAACGATTTATCCTTTTCAAAACCCAGCAGGGGTTGCTGTGAGAATCGACGGCAGTGGGTTTGGTTTGGTACCAAAGAATAAAATTGCTGGGTCGTGTTGGTCAGTTTGTATTTAACTTTTTAAGAAACTGTTTTCAAACTATTTTCTAAAGTGGCTACAACATTTTACCTTCTGACAAGCAATGTATGAGGGTTCCAATTTCTTCATATGCTTATTTATTTATCAACACTTGATATTACTTACGTTTTCAATTATACCCATTCTAGTGGGTGTGAAGTGGTATCTTATTGTAGTTTTTGATTTTCAATTTTCCTAGTGATTAATGATGCTGATTATATTTTCATGTGCTTATTAGTCATTTATATCTTTTTTGATGAAATGTCTATTCAAAGTTGTACCTATTGGGATGATATTTTTTTTTCTCTTTAAATTTATTGATGAAGTAATTATAGTAATAATGTTGAACCATCCTTGCATTTTCAGATTAAGCCTTCATTGGTTTAATATACTGCGGTATTAATTGATCAATTTATTTAGTATCTTTCACTGTAACTTTTCTTTTGTGCTACTCTTATCTGTTTTAATGTTAAGGTTATACTGTTGTTGTTGTTAGTTGTCACTGAGGCACTCTGACTCGTTGTGACCATATGTGTGCAGAGTGGAACTGCTCCATGGGGTTTTCACGTCAGTGACCTTTTGGAAACAGATTGCCAGACTTGTCTTCTGAGGTGCCTGTGGATGGATTTGAACCATCAATCCTTTGCCTAGTAGTTGAGCATGTAATAATTTACACTACCCAGGGATCCAGAATCATGCTCCAAAACCAAACCAAACTCACCACCATTGAGTCAATTCTGACTCATAGTAACCCCCTATTGACCTTCCGAGGCTGTAAATCTTTACAGAAGCAGACTGCCTCATCTTTGACCTGTGGAGCAGCTGATAGGTTTGAACCACCAAGCTTTTGGTTGGCAGCCAAATGCCTTAACCACTGTGCTACTAGAGCTCCTTAGAGTTATGCTTGTCCCATTTAAAAAATTTAAAAGTTTTCACTGTCTCTATACTCATGGACTATTTAAATAATGTTGTTATCTGCCATTGAATCAGCCCTTAACTCATACATAACAGAAGGAAACACTGCCTTGTCCTTTGCCTGCCCGACAATTGATTACACACCAGACTGTTGTGAGCCATCGGGTTTTCATTGGCTGAATTTTGAAAGTAGATCATCAGGCTTTTCTTCCTAATCCATCTTACTCTGTTAGCTTCTTGAAACCTCTTCATGATCGTGGCAATACGCAACCCTTCATTGACAGACAGGTGCTGGCTACAAATGAGGTGTGTTGGCCAAGAATTGAACCTGGGTCTCCCACACAGAAGGGGAGAAATCTACTACTGAATCATCACTTAATAGTAGAAACCACCATTTAAATAATAGAAATGATTAATTCCTCAGTGTTTTGATGAAATTTCCTCTTAAATTTTTTTTGGTGCTGGTACCCTTTAGGGGATAGAGTTTTTTAATCTATTTTCAAGTTATACTAGTTAATTCAAGTTTTCCACATTTTCTTGAATCATTTGGATGAATTACTAGAAAATTGTTCCTTACATTGAGATTTTAAATTTTATTGGTCTACGTATGCATATTGTGTTCATTTATAATTTTTAGATTTTCCTCTATATCTGTGGTTATATTCCCCTATTAATTCCTAAGATTTTAAAAGGCAGTATAATGTAGGGTTAGCAACATGACCTCTGGAGTCATCTGGCTAACTCAGGACCCAGCTTTGTCACTTTCTAGCTAGGTAACCCTGGACAAACAACTTAATTGCTTTTGTGACAGCGTCTCCATCTGTAAAATAGGGTTTATGTCATTTATTTATCAATTTTTTTTTGAGGGCTACTTTCTGTCAGACGCTATTCTAGGTATTTGGGATGCAACAGTGAACAAGACAAGATTTAGAAAAGTAAAATACCTGGTATGTTGGAGGTAAGTGTTAAGAAAGAAAAATAAAACAGGAAGAAGGATAGGAAGTATTGACAATGATAATACCAGCTTTCTTATGTGAGAATTAAATGAAAAAATATATGTAGTGTTTAGCACAGTGCTTGGCATTTAGGGCTGAAGTTTAGCACTTGTAGTAATAATAATAATTTTTTCTTGATCAGATTTGTTAGTGTTAGTATAGTTTATTGGACTTTTCAAAGAGGTCAGGTATATTGTTTGCTTTGCTTTTTCATTAACTTCTACTTTTATCTTTCTGAATTCCTTCTTTCTGTTTATTTATTAACTTCCTAAATTGATTGATTATTTGTCTTTAGTCTTCTTATTTCTTAATAAATACATTTAAGGCCACATATTTTTCTTCTTTGACAATTGCTTTTGCTATACAGTGTTCTAATTGACATTCATTTCTTTGTAGACTATAATTTTAGTTTTTATCTTCTTCATTAACCCAAAGATTATTTAGAAGCGTATTTAGATTTTTGCAGATGGTTGTGTTGTGTTTGAGCATATGCTTTGTGAATGTGTGCAAGTTTTCCTTAACCTTTTATTTTTTCTATCTGGTCTTCATTATAGTAAGCGATTGTGGCTTACAGGTTTTCAACTTTTAGGAATAGATTGAAGTTTTCTCTGTGATTGAACACTTGTTTAGTGTTTATAAATTTTCCATGGGGCAGTCAAAAAATATGTCTATTCTTGGCCGATCGACCATAACAATTTCCATGTGCATGTGCTTATTAAAGTGAATATGATAACTTTGTGATTCAGATTTTCCAGTGTTATTTATTTTGGCTTGCTTCCTTTGATTTCTAAGAGAGAGTTATTAAAGTTACCCACTAAGATATGGCTTTGACAAATTCTTTTTATATTTTCAGTAGTTTTTAAAGAATCTACTTTATTGAAATATAATTTAATACAGTGACGTGCACAAATATTAAATGTATAGTTTGATGAGTTTTGACAAATTCATATACTTATAATTATCACCCCAGTGAAGATACAGAACATTTCTATCACTGCAGAAAGTTCCACCCCTACTCTCAATCTCAGCAACCACTGTTCTGATTTTTATCATCATAATTAGTTTTGCTTGTCTAGAACTTTATATAAATCAAATCATACGGTGTACACACTTTTGTGTCTTCTTCTGTTCCACATAATGATTTTGAGGCAGGTCCATGTTGTTATATCAGTCATTTGTTCACTTTATTGCTGAGGAAGATACCTAGTTCATTGCTGTTTTGTCTACTCGATGAATAAAGTTTTGTAATTGTTTTATCTTATTTGGGAAAAGGCTACTTTAGATTCTGTTCATATCCCCTTGTTGGCAAAAGACATCTGGTCTGTAGTTACATGGGGAAAATATATCCCAGCACCCTGAGTTTTATGCCTGCTTATTAGTTGTCTACACCGATAACAAGTGAGAGAACAAGAGAGAAGACAGATGGTTTGTGGAGCTTTGCTGACTTCCTAAATGGCTCCTTGGCACAGGTCTAAGTGTTATTCTGGCCTTTGCTTCCCTATGAGGGCTGTGATGACAGTGCAAGTAGATGTGCTCCTGATAATTAAGATGCCTCTGGAAGAGTGAGGACCAGTAATTCTGAGCCCCTGCCGTGTGGTGCACCTAATAGAGATGCTTCATTGGCTCGAATCACAGAATTTGCCCTGGTCATAGATGCAGCCATGGAGCAACTTGAACTAAAAATACAAGGAATTGCTTAAAGGAAAATATTATTTAGTTAATTTTTAATGATTTGGAGACTAATTACCCAGTTTGTTAATTATCTATAAGGTAGCATTTTCTTATTCTTCTCTTTTTACCTTTGGAGTCCTATTTTTTTCTTTCTAAACAATAGGTAGAGGGAGGAAAGTATATGAAATTCCATCTGGTTCATTTTACTTTGAGTAGTTATTGTAAAAGGTGTGTGTGCACATGCACATGTGTGAGTAGGTAGGCGAGAGTGAAACTGTTCCCTAAAATAAAAACATACCTTTTATGTGGGAGGCATTCTGTAGCTGTGTATCTTTAGGCAAGTCATTTAATGTATCTGAACCTTAACATATTCACTGGAAAAGTGAGTCAAATACATTAACACTCATTCACAAATCTCTTTGGAAGACCAAGTAACATAATTTATACAAGATTCTCTGTAAATTTTAAAGTTCTTTTGCTATGTATACTTTACATATATACACACATTTTATTTTTATAAATGTCTTATGCTTTTTCTCTAATAAAGCTCTTATCCATAAATGTAGAGGAACAATAGACACATTCCAAACCTTTGTAAAAACCTAATCACTAAAAAATGAGATACCTTGAGAAGTTTATTCACTTCTTTCTCAGTGTAATTTGTGGTGTCTTGAGAAGGTTGTTTATAGGAAGCCCATTGTGGACATCTTTGTAGAGCAAGGAGCACAGAGTAGGGGAATCAGCAGTACCCGGATGCTAGTTCTTACCCTGTGTCTAATTGGCTTTTTGATCCAGTCATGTTATAGGAGCTCTCTCTTTGTCTTGGTTTTCTCATCTAGAAAAAGTGGGAAATAATTCATACTCTGTCATAGGAGTACTGTGATGTTATTATTGTTATTCTTTTACTAAAGTGATTTATAACAATTTATCTTAGTTTTTCTATGAATCCAGATTTCCACATATTGAGCTTGCTTTAAATTATATCCATTATGACATGTATTCAATTCCATTTTTAGAAAAGGACTGAGATACAGTTGTCTTCTATAAACACACAATCTTTGCAAAATCATTTCTTAAACAAGTTCAAAGGAATAAAGAGTAGTACATTTAGTTACACAGTTTATGCCATTGTTCCATTAGAAGCTAAATGATAGGAATGAGGATACAGTGACATCAATTGTTAAGGCCTGTACATTATTCATTTAACATCTGCTGTTGGTTCTTTTTTTCCCTGTGGGGGAATAAATTACAACACATCAGCACATTTTTCATGCTTTGTGTTTTAAGCATTTAAAAGTCGTTTATTGTATTATTAATATTATTTTATTTCTGCTTGTTTGGCAGCCCCTGAAGTTATCAATGCCCATGACTATAGCCAGCAGTGTGACATTTGGAGCATAGGTGTCATAATGTATATATTGTAAGTATCCTGCTAAATGTACAGTTTAAAATGAATGGATAGTCTTTAACAGTAAAATTATATAGATGTTAAATTAAACCTAACCAATGTATTTTTTAAAAAATTAAAAACCAATTCAGAATCCATTCTAAAAGCTCTTTATTATTAGTTATCATATACATCTGTTGGGTGTTTTTTTTCTTAAGGCTATAAATTTATGACTTTCAGCTTTACTCTTCTGTTGATTTATAAATGCAACAATGCACTGTATGATAAGAACAAAGGGAAAACCTTTCCCTAACAGCTTCTTGATCCCTTGCTATGAACTAGTTCTACTTTGTATTTTCTCAAGACATCCATTCATTCATAGCCCATCAGGTAAAGGGAGGGACTGGGTCCTGGTATTAAGACTACTCATGTGGACAGGGCATGTGTGGGGAATGGGCACCAACTAGATAGAGGTGCGACCCAGGGTCTAAGGACTATTAACCCATTGCCGTCGAGTTGGGTCCAACTCATAGCGACTCCTCCTTGGGTTTCTGAGGCAGATCATGACTGAAGTAGATTGCCCAACCTTCCAAGGAGTGACTGGTGGGTTTGAACCACCAGCCTTCTAGTTAGCAGCCAGATGCCTTAGGCATTACACCACCAGAGCTCCTTTGGGACTATTAGAGTTCCTAATTCTCTTCATGCTACTAAAAACCTCAGTCATCCTTGCTCTTCCTTCTCCCTTAGGCTCAAGATGCAGTTAAACTTCATGTTCTGTTCAATTTTCCTTTGAAATGTCCTTACCTGATTTTCATGTCTCTTCACCCTTATTGTTTCTCCTTGTGATCCCCTTTCTAGAATAGCCCAGTGCCTTTCTTACTGTTTTTCTTGCTGCTGGTCACCCTCCCCAGTCCATCTGTCAGGTTATCTACATCGTTATACCAAAGGTACTGCAAGTGGATGGCTTTACCAAACATATATTCATTCTCTCACGTTTTAGGAGTAGATGTCCATGTTCAGGACACCGGCTCTAGGGGAAGGCTTTTTCTCTCTCTGTTGGCTCTGAAGGAAGGTGCTTGTCTCCTTTCAAAATCTGTGGCCCCCACATTCTTTGGAGATCTTCATGTGTGTTGACATCAATCTTGCCCTAGGTCTAAGAGGTTCTCGACTCAGGGACCCTGGATCCAAAGGATGTGCTTCATTCCTGGCTCTTCTTTCTTAGTGGTAGTCAGCCCCCTTCTTCTCTGCTCATTTCTCTCTTCCATAAGATAAAAGATGTTGCAGGCCACACCCCAGGGAAACTCTCCTTACATTGGATCAGGGCTGTGATCTGTGTTAAGAGTGTTGCATCCACCCTCCCTTAAAACTGGTTGGCTGATCACATTAGATCACATAATGGAGAATGATTATATCATTACATAACTGCCAAATTACATCATTTACATAAGTGTCAAACCACTGAGAATCATGGTCCAGTCATGTTGACACCGACTTTTTGAAGACACATTCAGTCCATGAGACCATCCTTCACATTGCTGTCAGGGCTGTCTTTCTTAATCACAGATATGATTATACTACTTTTCTAATAAAAAAAAACATTTGTAATTCTCCCTTACTGCAAAAAAAAAAGTGAAATCATCCAGGCATGGCATGGCATAACAAGTCTTTCATGATCTGTCTTCAGCATACCTTTACCATCATGTGGCTACATATGTGTTTTCATGTACCTGCCTTGTGCTGTGGCTACTCCAGGCCACCTTCATGATTCAAACATACTCTGCATTACATGCAGTTCCTTCTATCTAGAACGTTCTCTTTCTTCTCTACAAACCTCTTTCCTGGGTGGGCCCAGCTCATACATAAGCCATTTATATTTCCCTAACTTCTACTCTACCCCAGCAGAATTACTACATTTATTATATATGTCCTTTCCCACACTCCATAGAGGATTTAAGGCAGCATACAAAAATATATGCAAAATAGTAACATTGAAAGGAAAACAAAATAACAAGCAAGATGAAATAGGAATATTTAACCAGGAAGATTTATACATATGTAAATTTGATATAATTAATTTTCTCCTTTGCTGTGTTCTCATGGCACCTGTTTCAACTAGAGTATAATATTGTCATATAATTGTTACATGTATTTTATCTGTTTGCCTTGCTCTAAATTCTATGAAGGACAGAGATTTAACATTATTTATCTTTATATCTCTGGTATCTAGTGGGCATGTAGTCAGTGCCAATATATGTTTGTTAAATTAAATTAAAGTGAATTGTTCTGAAAAGTTAGTGACCATTGTTCTGCCTTTTGGTGAATATGAACATTTTTATGTTGATGCAACATTGGTTTTATGTTCATATTGAAGATTTCACTACGTACTACCTCTTCCAGATCATTTCTAAATATTGACATCACAGTAGTTACATTTTCACAGTTCTGTGAAATGCAATACACAGGCAGCAGAAATTGGATGATGTGATTGTAGCTGTAACTCAGCTGGTCCACACACATCAGTGCTTAGAGTGCGTAAAGTATAAATGCACTCACAAAGTTTTTATTATTGTTACATGCTGATTAGAATTTTAGCCCAAAAGTTCTGAGTTTTAGCCTTCAGTGAAAATATAACTATTTTAAATTAGTATTTTATAATCTCAAGACATTCTAGATAACACAAGTCAAGCATAATATGTGTGGTCTAATGTGACACATTCATGTGATGTTTGCTGCTTTCTACTTAGTTTGAATCGAGTGTTAAGGAAAATGATTAAATATTGTATGCCTTAAAAATCTTTCTCTTTTTAAGGAGGTAATTTTAATTTTTGTGCCTCAGCATCATAATGACATCTTTTCTTTACCATAGACTGTTACTTAGCTGATCAGTGTGCATTCATTAATCTGTCTGAACCCAGTGGTCTTATAGGTAATTTCTTTCACCAAGAGCACAAGCATATTACCTTTCCCAGGGGGTTTATTTCCTTGTTAACCGGTTACCCCTGATTCATTTGTACTTAATTGGACAATGATAACAGACTTTCTCAAGGTGAAACTAACATAGATAAATACTCTTTATGGTTACTGTCCTTTGCTATTTTTATTCCTGTGGATGCAATGGAAAATAATAGGAAAGCTTTAAGAGGCATTTTTCATGTCTTGGATTCTCTTTTCTGAATGTTCAGAAAATTGCTGTCATAAAATTTCATATGCTGCTGATTGACCAACCATTAGATACATTTTTGCGTAAGTAAAATTGCAAAGGAAAGAAAAAAGTGGAATTTTAAAAACGTAGCCCTTAAGCTATAGTTGAGTGCTAGTCAGGCAATGCCAGAGCAGCTAAGAAATTGGTAGATGTGCATATCCCTGGTTGATAACAGGCTCAATGAGCTGGGCTTTTGTTGGCCTGTGCTTGTTATAATAGATAGTAATTGCCAATAAAGTCATTTTTCTGGCTTTTTTGTTTTCTGTGGGTTTTGTTGTTGTTACATTTTAAAACTAAACAATAGTGAGGCAAGTAAAATGAGAAGAGGGTCAGAATGAACTGGAGAAATAAAACTGAAGTATTAGAATATACTAATATTTTAGTTTGTGGAAAAGTTTGATAAATACTGCAGTATTAACATGAACCTATTGGTAACTGAAAAGCTGTCCAGCCTAGTTTGAGAATTACTGGGATGCAAGCAACTTTTTTTCCTAAGGAAAGTCATCACCATCATCATTATCATGAAAAATATATGTCAAATTTAGACTTATTCAGAAAATAATAGTGGGGCAAATTTTTTAGAGAACTTAAGGAACAATGTAACCACAGAAAATCAGTAAAAAATTTAACTTTTAAGAGACATAGAGATCATTATATTTATGTATACAGTATAGCAGCAGTTTGGGCAGTGTGGTTGAATTATACCATTATATTTTTTCAGTAATAAAATGGAAAAATATAATCCTGAGAGTTGAGAATAGACATGCAGAGTTGCCTCTGTTGTGAGTCCAAGTACAACTTCTGTTTGGTGGTCACTGGAAATATGTGCAGAGTTGCCCACAGCTGTTGGAGTTGGCATATGGTGATGACTAGCATTCGTTGAATGTATTATGAAGGAATGAACTAAGCTTTTAAGTACAACCTTGTAGTTTGGCATGGATCACCTTTTGAAGCAGTAGTTTCATAGGCTTATCATGCTCTTCATAAAGTACAGTACTTCCTTGAAAGGATTCTAAAGATACAGAGTTCCTGCATTATGGAATCTAAAGTAGTCCATGCTTACTTTATACACATTGCTCATGGTTTTTTCCTGTGTTGGCCGTTATGAGTACTTAGTTTGTAGTCTTCCAGACTGAAGAGTCAAATCATCATCATCATCTGATTTTCCTCATCTAGAACTTTATTTTTGATACCACATTTGAGGAATTGTGGCCATTTTAATGGCTTTTTGGCTGTGACCCAGAGCCTATAGACATTCCCAGAGTTATTCTTGATTTATTCTTATTATTACTAACATTTGTATAATATTATAGTTGATAAAACTCTACATGGTCATGGTTTCATTAGATTCTGATAATTCAGTATAAAAACCAAAAACCAAACTCACTGCTGTCGAGTTGATTGTGACTTATAGGGACCCCTGCTTGGGTTTCCAACGTGGTATCTCTATGAAAGTAAATTGCCCAGTCTTCTTTCTGAGAAGTGACTGATGGGTTTGAACCACCAGGCTTTTGGTTAGCAGTCACATGACTTAGGCACTACGCCATTATTCCATTAATCCAGTTTGGATTATGTATGTTAGCACATTGCCTTCCCCTTGCTTACCCTGAAATGTATCTCATCTATTATCTGCCATTATACTGTGCACTTAAATTCACACACCTTCTTGTAATTTAACCCCATGTAAACTTAGTGTTTCCCCATCTGGAAGAACTTTGGTTTTTTTGCACATCTGGAGGTTTCAATATATAAATAAATGTGTACTACCTCTACCAGGTCGTTTCTCCCAATGTTGAGATGATAGCCTAGCACTGATCTTGGAAAACACTCTTGTTTCCATTTCTACATCCAGAGAAGTACCCATCTCTTCCCATCTTTTAAATATGAAACACTTGTACCACCAAGTCCTGTAGAAACTTAATTTTCCATAGCCTTATTTTGATTATTATATATATATATATATATTTAATTTTAAAAAATTACTGCCTTTTTTGTAGATTATGTGGAGAACCACCCTTTTTGGCAAACTCAGAAGATAAACTTTTTGAATTAATAAGAAAGGGAGAACTACATTTTGAAGATCCAGTCTGGGATTCTGTAAGTGACTGTGGTAAGTATAGATTTCAGTTACTATTTGATAAAGCAAACATAAATAAGAAACTCAATCAATAATTCAAATTTTTTGATTCAAAATGGAGTCTTGCCAGTGAGCAGCACACTTTTTTCCCCCCTCTGGCATCTAAGGACTTTGAAAACTAGGTACAACAGTTTGAATTAGGAATTTTGGTGCTCTGAACAGCTCACTGAATCAGAGTGCACCAAACACAGAAGAGCAGAATTAGAGGAAAGACATAGGGAGATTATTTAGGAAAGAGCTATTGCTGGAGGACGGATGGGCACCCGAGAGAGACCATTGGAAACCTTTCTGGGGGCAGTCACTGTCTGCTGAGCGAGAGCAGCCACCTGAGATCCCCAAGGCAAGAACAAAGTCACCTTATAGCAGCTTACCAGTGACCACTACAATATTCCAGTGGGCAGTGGCAGAGGCCTGCCTCCAGCAGCTGATTTTGTCAGTAATTTGGGTGGTCTGGGTGCAGGCGGACATGGGCACCACTACTGAGATTCAGGCAGAGATCTCACTGTTGCGCCAGAAAGACTAGCTCCCTCCCCTCCCATAGGATCACAGAGTGGGCTTGGGTCAGACTGGAAGACACTGTGCTTTTCTTTGCCATGGTTATCGGGACCACAGGTCACTAGCAGGTTCTCCCCTGACTCCACCACAGCTAAAATTACATGCATCTTTGGTGCTGTAGGTGGGCGGTATCACAGACAAACTCCAGAGCTAACCATTACCGGTCTGGCGGGATTGCGTCAGCACCACAGGGAGACAGGGCACGGAGAGCAAAGAAACCACATCTGAGCGCAGTCCCGTGAATTTTGCCTTGGAGCCGTGCTTTGGCACTGTGGGGCACGGAGGCGGAGTCTTTGAGTGTGCCTGAAATTGGCAGAAATTTGTGACCCTCTAACAACAGGAATCTTTCCTGAGTTTGAGCGTGGTCTTGCAAATAAATACGTCATCAATAATAGCCTGCTCAAAGCCCTAGAAACTGATCCTAGCAACACCAAGCTTTCCTTCTTCTGCTCCCACCTTCTCCACCAATAACTTCACTCATTCAATAGAAGAAACCATATTCAGCCAATTACCATAAAACCTCCCGCTTCAAACTCTAAGCCCTCTTTATGAAAAACAGAAACACATATCCACACTATACACAGTGATTCCATCATCACAAAGAAAACAGCAGAGCGACCCAACACACTTGAATCAATAATAAAATAAAACACACCAGCTTCACCTTTTCAAAATATTAAACCATAAAACCAAAACAAAACAAATAAACACATAACCAGCAGGTAGAGACAACCTAAAGAGACAGCGCTCTACCAGATTCCAAGGGCTTAAGAAGGGGTTCTGCTTTCCAGTAACCCCAAGAACTCTCTGGACCTGTACTACACAACTGAAAAGGTCCTAGTTTACACGTTCTTTTTTTTTTTTTTTTTCTCTCATGGTTAACCCTGTTACTTGTTGGGTGTTTTTTTCTTTCCTATTTGTTAGTTTATTTTCTTTCTTCATTATTCTCCTTCTCTACCTTTTTTCTCTTTAGTGATCTATCCCCAGATACTGCATATTTATCTGTTTTCTTCTTCTTTTCTCCACTTTTTCTTTTTTTGGGTTACTGTTCCTGTGTGAATTCAGGGTGTATTTTTTGTCCATGTGCTTTTACTTTTTTCGATGGTTATTCAGTTGTAATTTTTGCCTAACTGAGTGGGAGACAACAATCCCCATAAGATACAAATACATCCATACCTACTGCAACTTCACTTACTGAGCGAGAGCCAGCACCTCCTTGTCCACCAATGGGCCAACAATAAAAAACCACCAAAAAGAGCCTGAATCACCCTTAGCTGCTCTTCACAAACAATTAACAGAGATCTAAATACAATACTTAATACAATACCACGATGCCTTGGAGACAACAGACCATCACAGTCCACACAAAGAAGCAAGATAAAGTGGTAGAAATCAGGGAACAGGTTACAGACCCAGAACACATCCCTGAGGAAGAAGCAGCATTGGAACTCTTTGATAAGGAATTAAAAAGACTTATATTTAGGTATCTTCAAAGGATTGAGAGACAGACCAAAGAAAACACAGAAAAAACCTTAGAAGAATTTTGGAAGAAAATGCAAAAAAAAAAATG